CCCCAAAACCCCAAAACCCCAAAACCCCAAAACCCCAATTCTTTAAATATCATTTTCTCAATCATTTAATACTAATCATCACTAGCCACTCCAACTCTCATACCAAATCCTCCTAGATCCCTCTAATGTTTACCACCCAAACTCTCATTAACCACCCTCCACCTGCACCAAATGCTCACTCTTTCCCAACTCCAGACCCTTCAAAGTCTTTCTTCCAAAAATCCTCATCCACCAAAATTTGAAATCCTCTTAGTAATGCAAAATTCCTATGGGCTCCCATTGCCCAAAGCCTTACTTCCCGATCTTGACTCTATTCAGCCAGATCAGACTACAAGAAGGCACTACCAGAGAAGGAATTTATGAGATTGGAAAATTGACTGAGATTTTTTAGAGAATTATGGCTTAGCAACTAGACCGAGGTTGACCAAAGATTCGCATGCTTCCAAAATACTTTCCTTCATTGGCTTATACTCGATTCCAAGTTTTTCACTTGCTAATGATCCGTCAACCTCATTCTTGATATTCCAGCCTGTAAGGTAGAATGCTGCATCATCATTGAAGAGGCTCACCATCCATAAAATTGCCTTATTTATTTCAGATTTTGAGACTTTATATCCTTTAGCTTCATACTCTTCAATGATTGGATTAAAAAACTCAATCACCTTATAAGTTCCGCTTGAAAGAGGGAACCTATCTCCATTCTCGCCTTTCTCAATAGCATTGACATGGGCTTGAGCACAATCTTGGACATCTATGTGGCCTAAGTAAATCTGTGGATACCCAGGCATTTTATTCTCTAGAGCATCTTTTACAAACTTTAGTGAAGCTCCTTCAGCACGAGGAAGTAATGCCTTCCCAATGATAAAACTAGGATTTATTACAACAACATCGAACGGTCTTTCTGTTGATTTGAACTTATCAATAAAATCAAATGCATATCTTTCAGCTCTAATTTTCGACTTGAAATAGGGTACCATACCTTCAAACTCTTTTACAAAAGTTGTATGATCAGAGACTTTCTCAGGATGCTCCCAAAGATCTTGGCATGTAGCAGTAGATGAGGTGATGATGACCTTTTTGACACCACTTCCAACTGAAGATTTCAAGACATTTCTGGTACCTTCAATTGCTGGCTTAATAATCTCTTTGTCTCCATCTTTAGGAGGTTCAGGAATAACAGGAGAAGCGACATGAAGAACATAAGTTACACCTTCAACAGCCTTCTTTATTGCTTCTTTGTCTTGTAGATCAGCAGATACAAACTCTATCTGGTCAAAATAGTCCCCAAATCCTTTCTTGAGTAACTCCATTCTATCTTGGTTAGTAGTATCTCTAATAGTTCCTCTAACTCTATACTTTCCAGTATCAAGAAGTTTGGCTACACACCAAGATCCTAAATATCCAGAGGCTCCAGTGACAAGGACAAGGGGTTTCTCAGAAAAATCTTCCATTTTTTAAATATTATATTGAGTATCAACCAAAAATATTAATTTAGGGGTTTTGGGGTTTTGGGGTTTTGGGGTTTTGGGG